ATTGACCTTATAGACTTCTTCAGCCATTACCTACTCCAAAACAAGAATGGTCTTTTATTTCTATGGATTTTATTACAAATCTTTTAATCTCAAGTTTGTGTAATTTTATATTTGTGATAGTAAATTATTTTATCAAAATGACACATTTTGTACCATGGACAAAATCTATCATAGGTGAATAAATTGCCAAGCTTTTCATTGATAATATCTATCAATATCATGGATTGCTGAAAGATGTTATATGAAATAGGACGACTCAATTTATATCAAGATTTTAAAAAATTCTTTTTAAGATTCTAAAAGTGGATATAAAGCTTTTTTTGATCTTTCATCTTTAATTTGATGGACAAACAAAGCATGTAAATCAAGTTTTGGAGCAATACTTTAGGTGTACCATTAATTATCAACAAGACAATTGGAGAACCTTCTTGCCACTAATAGAGTTTGCTTATAATAATACGATGCATTCTTCTATGTAACAAATATCTTTCTTTGCCAATTATGGTTATCATTCAAAACTTGATACTTTTTATTTTTCAAAAGTTGATAATCTTATAGTCGAAGGTTTGGCAAATCATTTATTTGAGCTATATACGACAATGAAGGTGCAATTAAAAGAAGCTTAAGAACAACAAAAAAATCAAAAAGGATGCCTATCAAAAGAAACAACCACAATTCAATGTAAGTGATAAGGTATAGTTATTTTGTCATAATATCAAGGCTACTCATCTTTGTGATAAGTTGGACTATTGTGATGTCGTAATGCGTGAAGTCTTGCTTGAGAATGCTCCGGGCAACTGACTGTGGAAGGTAGAATGGAAATTGCAACAATAAAATCTTAATTCTGATAGAATACTAACTAAATTCTAATTAGACCATAACAATGCTAAGCAAGCTTTAATCAAATTTAAAGAAATCTCAAAGAAATTACAAAGAAACAATAAAAAATCTTAAAGAAATATTAGAATGATAACAAATATATCTCAAATACATCTCAATTCAATCTTAATTTAATCTTAGTTAAAATTCTATTAGACTTCATTCAAAATTTAAGCCAAAAATTAACTAAATCTTTAATTTTAAACAAATACTAATAAAATCTTAAATGCCTAAATCAAATCCTAATCAAATCCTAAATCAAATCCTAATCAAACTTTAAATCCTAAACCAAATCTTAATCAAATCCTAATCAAATCCTAAATCTTAAACCAAATCCTAATCCTAAATCAAATCCTAACCAAATCCTAATTCTGAATCAAATCCTAATCAAATCTTAAATCCTAATCAAATCTTAAACCCTAAATCAAACCCTAAACCTTAAATCAAATTCTAAATCTTTAACCAAATCTTAACCAAATCCTAATCCTAAATCAAATCCTAACCAAACCCTAAATCCTAAATCAAATCCTAACCAAACCTTAAACCCTAAACCAAATCCTAACCAAATCCTAGTAATTTCTACAATAGATTTAAACCTCAATAACTAATGAATGAACCATTGATCTTAACTCAAATTTTGCATAATTTTTAAAAACTAAATTAAAAACAAGTACAAAAAATTTGAAAAGAATTGAAATTACTAAATAGACGATAACCTCAAAAATGTGCTCGGGTATTGGCCGGCCTTCTTCTCCAACCTTGATGCCAATCTTCTAAAGCCAATATTTTTAATTTTTACTATTCAATTGATTTGAAAATTCTCATACATATAAAAAAATAAATTTAATATCCTCTCACATAAATTTCACTCTAATTCAATAAGTAGATTATAAGAAATCTAAAAAACCTTCATTAGACCTAAAATTCTACTTTCTAAGACCTTGATCAACTTAAACCTCAATAATCCTCAATTCAACCGTTAGATTGAGTTAAGATTTACAATACATATTAAGCACAACTATGACCATTAATCTACAAAACTTTACTTATAGATCTATTACAAAACTTTTGAAATCACTATAAATGTCAATCCTATTTTATTTCACAAAATCCAAGTCATCCAAAAACAAATTTGACTTTGTTAAGCTGTTACAAAGTCATTACAACTCCAAATTGCCCAAAAATAATGCTTACAAAAACCTTATTCAGTTTTCTATCAAATCTCATTCTTCGATTTGCAAAAGAATCCCTAAGTTACCGTAGGTGCTTGATTTTGTGCTTCAGGGTCTGATTTCGACCCAGGTTGCTAACTGGCCCTCTTTAAGTATCAATATCTAGTTTTTTTAGGTAATTTTTATTAGAATTTACTTTCAACTTCCTCTTAAAGATATTTATATCATTTATTTTTCCAATCTATCTTATTTTGCTTTATTTTTGGTCCTACAAAGTAAGTAGAAGCTATCTTTTTAAAAAGGCAGCATTGGTACCTTTTAGTTTTACTACTCTTTTGACTATTAACTATATTTCTTAAGATAATTTGCTCTAATACTTTGAACTAAGATCTCCTACATTATAATAATTTCTACATTCTTTCATCTATTAGTCGTGTTACATTATGACAGCGAACTTGGATCTTTTCTTATTGGTGGACAAATCAATCTAGTTGCTTATCAATTATATCTGTTGGAGTCAATAAAGATCCATCCTATCTTCCATGTGTCCCTTCTTGAACCATACAAGACTGTGAATATTTCAAGAAGAAGATAGGTTCCACCTTCTTCTATAGAAGTAGACAATAATGTAGAGTTCAAAGTAGAAGAAGTTCTAGACTCAAGGCAACATCAAAATAAATCAAAATATCTTATCTATTAGCATAGATATGATATTAATGAATGCACATGGGAGCCACTAAAGAATCTTGTAAATGCAGAAAAGACGACAAAGGCTTTTTATTGATAACATCTATCAAAACTAAGATAAAGAATAATAAGTCTTTGCTATAAAAGAAATAAGGTCTAAGAAAGATTACATTCTACTTTCTATCTTTATTTGTGGTTTCTATTTATTTGTGATAGTATGAAAATGGAGAAGCAACAACTAGCAAATTTGACTAAAGAGTCTTTGTTTGTTGACTTGCCGGACAAGATATTGTAATTATGGCAACTTTTAAGATGATGCAATCGAGATAGAGATCCTCAAAATGACATATTCTTCCTCGAATAGATGGCGACATATAATGCATTTGGTATCTTAATCTTAGAAAGAACTCCCGATGTTTAGTGATTTTATTAGAGATAGGAATAACTCTTGATTGTGTTCCAAATGTTTTATTTGAAAGAAGTTATAAAGGCCTCAACAATGATTAAATAACTAGATGATTTTTCCGTCATGGTATAAGATATTATTGATGGTTGAGAGGCCCAATATATAAGAATTTTGACATTATATATAAAAATTTTGACATTATACATATTTTTAAAAGTAGTAATATGAGCTTAGTAATAACACATTATAACTATATATATATATATATATATATATATATATTCAAACATATACATAAGATAAATTAAAATCTTATATCAATTGAGTATAATTTTTTCTATTAAATAAAATTAAAAATTATTTGATACCATTTGCAATAGTGTGTTTTAAATAAATGGTATTGCAAATGGTATCAAATAATTTTTAATTTTATTTAATAGAAAAATACACATATGCAACATGCTTTACTTGTACACATCACTCCACAGAAATATCTGTTTAAAGAACATGTGCACATCTCATTCTTTGTGCACATGTTTTATGACATTCCTTGTTAAATATATTGAAGAAGAATAAACGTACACACACACACACACATATATATATATATATATAATCTTCGTCTTCCTGGATGATGAGTTGAAAATATTAGCGTACAGGACTGTGGGTGTCCAGGTTGGCAGCCCCACGAGATGCCTCTCTTTGTTGCTTGCTTGGCTGACCCAGTTTGATGTTTGATTGGTGTGTGCCACCACAAATGGGCCGAATTGTTCTGAAGGCATTGTAACCCTCTCACTTCGAGAACTTCACCACCACCATCAACACCAAAGCTCTCTCTTTCTCATTACTTCTACAAAAACACTGCTAGGAATCTTCCCCTTTTGGCTCCCGATGTTTTTACCTCATTCTCTTCTCCTTTGCTTTTTCTCTTCTTCATCCCCCTTTTTCAATGGCCACCGGTAGCGTGCGGGTGCAGGAGCACATCACTCTGCCTGGTGGCTTCTGAGCCTACTATGTTGACATCGTGTCAGAATGCCTCCAACGTCGACGTAGCTCAACGCCGTACCTTTTGATGATTTCCATGGCGAAATGGGCACGCGACGAAGCCGAGGCTGACATGACATAACATGAGACGTTTGGAACGCTCGTTGAGATTGGGTTTCAGTTTTAGACTCCAACCAAAAGAATCAGTTACTACTCCTTGAGATTAAGTGATTGTTCGGTAACTTTGAGTGAGTTCTGAGGGTGGGCTGAAGAAATGACTGTAAAGTTTCAGTAGACTTTTTGATTTTTTTAAAATATCGTTATCTGTTTTTTAATCGACAGCCTGTGTCATACCGGAAAGGAAGCTTTGGAATTGGCAGCCGGAACTCTCGTCACTGTGGTGAAGACATTTTCAGTCTGAGTATATCTAGTCTGATTGATTGCGAATGACTCGGCCAACTCTTCGATTTGCAGCAGTCTTAGTCCTCCTCGATCCCCTTCCCCCCTCGCTCTATCTCTCTCTTCAATGGTTTCTTGTATAAACCTGGCTTGATTCTGCACTCTCCAACTTGATTGTGGCGTAGGATTATTTTCAGTTCTTGAGGTTGAATTGATGGTGGAAGGGCTTTTCGGCGGCTTGAATTTTTAGCCTTTAGCTTTCAAGGATAACCTTGATTCCTCACCAATCGGCCTGAAGGTCTTCGGACATGACACGAAGTTAAGGATTATTGGGTGTTTCTTAAAGGAATGTCGTGATTATTCTTGTCGAGCCAGGAATTTGGGTCGGCAGTATCAACTGTTGAAGGGGAGGAAATTGTAGTTCAATTATACTGAGGATTGGGTGATGATTAGCACGACTTGTCGTCTTCGTCATGGAGGTAGTGCATTTGGATAGGAGCTTGCATAACGTGTTTGCCAGTCGAGAGAAACTCCAACTCAGAGTCAGTGCACAACTATCTCGAGCTTCGCAGGATCTCTTCGGAGAGTTAGAGCTTGACCCAGCCATTTGGAGTAGCATGCCTGACAGCGTCTTACACCATGTGTTCACAAAGCTGCCTGTCAAGAGCCTCATTCGTGTTCGCAGCCTCTCCAAATTCTGGATGTCAGTAGATTTCTTCTCCAATGGAGAGCTGGATACCAAACAAGGACGCTTTGCTCTCTACAAAGGCAGACCGAGTCTTTCCTGTCACAAACACGAGGCGTGGGTTTTTGACACTCCAGCACAGGAATGGTGCAAGTTTCCTGTAGGGCCCTTCCCCTCGCCTCTGAACTTCAGCGGGCCGTTTGCGGCGGTAGGGGGGCTCCTATGTTACATCTCAGATACGAGCCCTGCAGGCACCCTCGAAGTCCTGGTTGGCAATCCCGTAACTTCTACATGGCGCTTGCTGCCGCCGAATCTTAACCTCTATGAGTTCCCAACTCTCACTCAGATGTCTGTGGACCACGACCATTATTCCATTACTCTCGTTGGCGTGTGCGAGGACATGGGCGCCTTGGTGATCGAGATTTACGACTCGAAACCGAACGCGTGGCATCGCGCTGAAGCTGTCCCTCCGCAGACAGGATCCTGTTACAATTTGTTCAGGGGGGACGAGTTTCTCGGACTGGCCACCATAGACAAGAGATCCAAGAGCGTGAAGAGGCTGGTGTATCCACCCGCGCTCCAGGAGAGTTCTTTTCTGAACCGTTACGAGGACAAGTGCTGGATTTTAGAGAGCAGGGGGAGCTTGTTCATGTGCAGCAACGCGGCGCGGAAGGAGGGCATCTGGCAGAGTCTAGGGGCCGAGTGGCACAAATATTGTGCATTACCGAAAGAGTTGCACAAGTACGAGAAGACGGCATTGTATCTATCCAACGAGGTGATGGTTCTCGTGGGGACTGATCCCCACTGCTTCACTCCTCAGTTCGAGGACGTGGACCCCCACACGATCACCATGTTCAATATGAAGACCCATCTATGGATCACTCTACCGATGATTGAATCGATTTTCGGAAACACGGACGAAATTCTACCGGGTTTGATGTTCGAGCCCAGATTCGACAGAAAACCCTGAACCACGTACACTGCTGAGTAACACAAACAACCGGAAAGATTCCTTTCGAAGACGAAGTCGATCGTCATACACTCAAGACCAATTTAGTTTTCTAGTCACCATCGCAAATAGCAACTAGCTTCCAGTCCAATCGACGGTCGATTCTTTTTCCCCCTATTACAGAAAAGTAACTGTCGCCCAAACACAGAGCCATCGAGGCAGATTCCCGATCGACGACCGAGGGACGTAAGTTTCGAACCTGTACATCACAACTGAATTTCTACACAAGTCGTGTCAAGCAACTTCTGAATCAATGTCAGGCGGAATGTCACGGTTGAGCTGGTAGGCTGTCGACAACGCCAAGATCTCTCGTTACAGGTCTCCAGCATGTTCTTCCATCTGTCGCTGTCGTTGCTCCAAAGCGTACCACCAGTGCGTGAAGCAGGAGTTGCTTTCGAAGGGTGCCCAGTGCGGCACGCCAGCTCTGAATCGTCTCCAGCACTCAATTGACAGTCCGGGTCTGTCGTCGAGGCTTCACCGAACGAGTCTCTCGTTGCTTTCTGATCCCGCATACCTTACTACACGCAACAGTCAGCAAATCAGACCTGCGAATCACCCTCTTCATCGCACTGTTGCCCCGCTTCCAATGCATCGGTCCATCGATCGATTGAACGATCGTAGCTTCGCTAGATCGCCGTGTCGAATCGACGCGGGGAAGCGAGTTTTTATTGGTGGCGTCGGTGAAAGTTGGGGAGCCACAACGATTCGGATTCCTTTCGTCTTGGATGGGGCGTCCGTCCACGGTGGTTGTGTTGGTTTTCTTTTCTAACGAAGCAATTCATGGGTTTAGAGTTTCTGTGTTTTTTCAACATAAATGTGTATTTTGGTTAATTTTTTGACTATTTATTTATTCCATTTGCCTCTATCACCATTTTGTTGACATGAAAGGTTCCATTTTTGTTATTTGCCTATTTGGATGACAATAAATAATCGGTCACATTATTGACGCTGTGTTTGCTGTTTATAGTAAAGGCTGCTTTGTGACTTGGTTTTCCATAGTTTTTTCAAAAGAGTGTGCAATGCTTTGATAAATTGCGACATGTATAGAAATGAGTACTAAATACCATCAAACAAATACAACCATAAAAAATATGATTACAATAAATTTGAAGGAATGTTATTTAAAACAAACTTTTAAAAAAGGTTGTTGTGATGCAATGTGTAAATATTGATAATTATATAATATTTTATTTCATTCCATTCAAAAGAAAAAGTAATAATAAACTCAATTAGTAAAAATAAAACATGTATATATGATTTGCAATAATAACCATATAGATTGAGTTGTTTACAAGTTTTTCTAAAATTTACAAGAAAAATATATGTAGTACAATATAATAATTATTAAATAAATCCTGAACTTAACATACTTCTATATGTAAATTCATTTAGGTATATTGTGGATTAAAAAATTATAATTTAAATTATATATGATAAGGTATAGTATTTTAGATTCATAGCATAATACAGGTAGGTATGTTTTTTTACAATGGTTCAAATATAAAATAAAAAATTGACTACAAAATTATTGATTGCTTATGGCTTAAATTGATGTAAGCAAATTCTCATGTTAATTTTCACAATTTTGATTCTTTTACAAAAAACCAAAAAACAACTCAATAATCACTTGAATATCTTGTGAACTATTATTGTATTAATTTTTGAATATTATTTTTCTCTAAATGTTTAAAATTTTCTATACACAAAATTATCATATATATATATATATATATATATACATACGTTTGATATTTTAAAAAGTTTATCACTTTACTAAGCGGCATTGTAATAAACAAAATGGCGTTTGTCTACTTGATTAGATTTGTATTATTCTTTAATGTTTATTTGTTTGTTTGTTTGTTTGTTTTTTGTTTTGTTTTTGTTTTTTTTTGTTATTTGTTTTTTTTTAAATTTATTCATAATAAGGACACAATCCCATAGATCTCCTTGATGACCCTCTTGGGGTCCTGACGTGGGTGGAGCACCCGATGCCGAGGAAGACATTTGAACTGTGCAGACGGACGAGGACTAGGATCGAGGACGGGGAGGGGGACGAAGAATTCAGTGCACGCGCGGGGAGTGAGTGAGTGAGTGAGTGAGTGAGAGAGAGCTGCAAATTCGTTGTCGCGGCTGCAAATCACGGCCCTCCCACTCCCACTCCCTCAGCATCAGCAATGCAATGCAGCGGGATTGTTTGACCCACTGTGAGTGAGTGAGTGAGTGAGTGCCAAGTGTGGCCGTCTCCCGGAGTTTTTGCATTCGGAGCTGGCGAATCTGGTATACCCTTTGAATTGGCTTCGTTTCGACGCCGCTGCCGGTGGTGTGTGTGTGTGTTTTTGTTTGTTTGTGCGCGCGCGTTGTTACTGCAGCTCGCGCATTCGTAGCTGAGCTGGCAATTTTTGAGGGTTTGGGAGATGGAGATGTCGGTGTTGTTTGGGCGATGGTGTTTCCGGGTTTCTATTTGATGTGATTTTGGTTTGATGTAGCACGAGATTGTGTAGAATTATCTTGTTTGTTTGTTTATCGCGTTGAAGAATAGGATGCAGATCGACGCACGGCCCTTTGCGTGTTGAGTGATAATCTTTGATTTACAATATCAGTCGCGTAACTCCGTATTTCCAATCAAAAAGTTTTGGGATGTGAAGTGCGCTAGATTGGCTTCGTTATCGTCCCTCCGAGAGCGGAATCTCAAACTTCACAAATTGGGTTCTTGTTCTTCGGGGTTAATATCGCTGCTTTTTTTCATTTTACTCGATTGCACAGGCTTTGTTGTGACGTCAGTGTTTGTATAAAAGGGTGAATTGTAGAAGATTGGGGTTAGAAGAACGTTGAGAAACTTGAGCATCATGTTCCTTTGAGGTGTCGGGTGAAAATCTTTGTGGAATTTATATATAAGTGGTAAATTTTCGAGTTATCATAGAAGAATTTTGGGTCTCGTAGCGTATTCCTTGACAAGGAAGGCAAGATGAGCACGTGCTCAGTAGTACTTTCTTGATCATCTGGATAAAGGTAGCAATAATTCTGGAGCTGCATTAGTGACTGCAGGAACCTTCAATAAATTTTAGTTGATAAGAGTGTCCCCTTTAACTTGACGTAATTGCGATGAGATTACTGCCGAAGTTTGCATCATTCTAGATCACTGGTAACTACCGATAGTGGGCGCCATGTTTGCAGTTTGCGAGAGGGAAACAATATTTCAAGTTAGGGTTGCTCATCAGATGAAGGATTTTCAACATTATTGTTTGATGCCTTGAGTTGACAGTGGCCCGAGTACATCTGCAAAATGGATGCTGCCTGACCAAAGAAATGACCTAATGACTTTGCTGCTGCTTCTAAGAATTCAACCATGACGCCTGGCACTGCAGTACTCCTGGCAACGTCAAGTTTAGTACAATGTTGTGGAACTCTCCGCCGACTAAGCACTATTGGTGGATGTAAGCCATTGCTGCAACTAACAGGAGCTGGTTTCCAACCTCGACGAGGTATGTCCTACATAATTGCGTCTTGATTCTATATTTTCTTCCTTGGAACTTCGTCTTGATCTTCTAAGATACTGATGAAAGATCGACCTCGGATGAATACTCAGAAGCTGCTAAAATTGACGGAGGTCGGTTTGATAATGATTACAGGAGAGGTATGGTCCGCCAACAACCTGCAAACTTCGAGGTTATCGTGTGTTGCAGCGTCTGCAGTGGCAACAATGGATAGGAGTAACTTTCTCCTAGGCAAGAAAGCTGCTTTGTACTCGCACAGCCTCCCGGCTATTGAAGCATGGCTACAGGATCTCGGCTTTATGCAAAGTGAAGCCGATCGAGGAGTGTGGATCATTGAGCGGCCTGACTGGCATGCCCAATTGTCGCTTGATTACACCGAGTTGTACATTAGGTAGGTTTTGTCTTTGGTGCAATCTATCAAATACCACTGCCTTCTCTTGTCATATGGTTAGCTCCAATCCTCGATGGTGCATTCTGGAAGTGGTTCATTCTTATAGTAAAAGTTGCGACATTATTTCAGCTGTTCGTGATGGACTTGCAGGTACCTTAAATCTGGGCCTGGTAATTTGGACCGAGACGTTGAGCGGAAATTTAATTATGCCTTGAGCAGAGAGGACGTGGAGAATGCAGTCCTTGGTGGCCCGTGAGGTGCAATTTGATCCCATGTCTCCTGGCTCGCACAGTTTACAGGTGGTACTGCAAATTGTGCATCTAACGTTCAACTCCTGGACTGCATGTCTGTGCGCTGCTTCATATCACATATGGTTGTCCCAGTTCTCCATTCTTGTAAGTTTTTTTGGCTTTGTGAGAGGGCTTGCTCATCAGTCATATATTTCCAAAAAGCTAGTCAGAGTGGTGTACATGTGCGAATTGGTTTCACTAATGAATCAGACAGGTAAGGAGGTTTGTCACATTTTGGACAGATCAAAATCTTCTCATCGTAAACCGACGATCGCTGAACGATCCATTTGAAATCCACCGTCAAACTATTCCAGCGACATCATTTCACCAACTAGAGTTAGCATGTATGGATGTGGCACATTCAGGTTTTAATTTTTCCGTAAGAGGAATCAAGGTCATCTGCGTAAGTTTCTGCAATGACGAATAACAAGCGGATTGCTTGCCCCACCTCTATTGCTAAAACGCGAGTTTGATTCTACAGCTGTGCCCATAGGTTGATAAGTAAATCTGTCTCGGCGCTGAGCTACATGTTCCGTCGCAATTTGTGTTGCCATATACTCCACAACTGTACCAGATCTTGTGTACATTGTTGTCTAACCCATAGCTTCTGTACATCTACGGCATGTGCAATCCATATTGTATTCAAGGAACATTCAATTTGGCTTGGATGTTTCCTCTCTTTTTGTATGGCCTTGAGTAGATGTCAACAATTTTGCTTTTCTACTTACAATACAACTTCTCAAAATTGTTGGTAATCATTCATTGGTCGTTCATCTTATTTCCTTACTGATAAAAAATACATGTACACAACCTGACAAAGATAATTATTTATTTTTCTCTCAAATCTTTAATGTCAACATACTTCTGTGTTTACATACCTACTTATATACATACATACATACACACACACATAATTCATTGATGATAATATCACATGTTGTACATTGTTTTTAGCTTTGTAAGATCATTTGATGATTTTTCAAATGTTCAATTTTTAGTTCTAATAACTTTTTATTCTATATACGTTTACAGACTCATAAATATGATACACATGAGTACCTTTGTTTTAATGGAATTAAATTTGTGTGAAATGGTTCTTTTTTCAGACAAAAAAGTATTGCTTGAAATAGAGAATCATTGGCCTAGTCTGTCATTTTTATACTTTCTAAATTATTTTCTAAAAAGTATTCATATATCATTTTCAGAACAACTCTAATCCAATTGTAACACACACATTTTCTTCTTTGTTCTTTTCTTATTTTTTTTTTTCTTTTTTATGTGACACATAAACTTCTTTTATATCTGACATTAAATAGAACAAATATTATTTAAAATCAATGCAATTAGTCATAATAATTCACCACTCAACATGCATCCTAAGTTAATTAAATATAATCTCTATAATTTGTAGCAACTAGTTTTTAAAATTGTATCTAATTAAATTTCAGATATAATTTATGAAATTTAAAAAAACAAGAAACTAACAACTACTAAAAGCACAAGTTAAGTTATATATATACAAATATACATACATATATAGAAGAATAGTCAGTTGATAGTATATATTAGTATTAAAAAAATCAACTTATGATAATTCTCTCTTATCTATCCTCAACTACCAAAATTTACAATGTAAGTTGTAGAATAATTTAAAAATAATAGCCTTAGTTACTAATATTAATTTTAAAATTTTAATTAATTTCATTCAATGTTCAAAAAGAATTAAAATTAAAAACTCTCTTGGGAGAGTTTTTTTTTTTTTTTTTTTTTTTGAATGTATCATGTGATATCTAATAAATCTTCTATATATAATTAGATAGCTAAAACCTAAAATTATATATTTTTAGAGAAGATCCTTAAAATTGGTTTATTTTTTAAAAATAATAATAATTATCAAAAAATATAAATCTATAAATTCTTTAATATTTTATTTTAATTCAATTCTAAATAACCATTTATAAAAGTTTCTTTAACAATTTATTTTTAGATATTTTTTGTTACTTATTTGTAAATATTAATATAACAATTAAAAATTTTTATTAGCTCATTTTTTAATAATTAATAATAATTATATATATATATATATAGACCTAATTTTTTACTAGATCAATCCACCTATCATTACAAATTGGCACATAAATTGTTTAGTTCTTCTTCATTATTAAAACCATTATCCATATTTAGATTAATAAAATCATGGTTTTTCATAAATGCAAGTTATACAATTATGAAAACATGACAAGTAGCAATGATTATCAATAGCTACAATTAACAAGTCTTTTTTCTTTATCTTGCTATCAAAGACATGAATCTCAAAGAAAGAAAGTCCTTAATACACTCTTCTATCACTAAAGAAAACTAAAAAGTCACTCAAAAGCTGATGTAATATTTAACTAAAATGGCTATTGCCAAAAACAAGAAGACTACAAAGTCTTGAAACAAGACTAAAGACTAGAAAGGAGTTGATAAGAGTGAAGAAGACTTCACTCTTGCCTCCAAATATACTCTTTCACTAGAAGTTATGTGGCAATATTCTATAGGACCTCCAACATGTGTTGATTTTGCTAGCCACATGTCTTAACTTGCAAGGCAAGTTATCTATGTATGTGCCACATAGTTAGCTTATTCTACAAGCTACTACACGGAGTTAACTTGTTCTACAAGCTATCAACACATGGTTAACTTGTTGGCTAAGTTTCTATCTTATAAATACATTTAATGTCAAAATTGCATCTATGAAGCTTATAAGAAGCTTTTCTAGAAGACTTTATGAAATTAATTTATATTTACCTATTTCTACTTAATCATATTAATAACTATTGAGATAAGTGTATATATCCGTGATATTACCCCTGCCTTCTAAGAACAAATTTCACAAGGAGCAGTGATCATCTTTCATGGATCTTTGTAGTTCTTCATCTTGATTTTGATGGATGTCGTCAATAAAAGGCTTCAACTTTCTTTGTTGTATTTGTAAGATTCTTTGCTAGTTCTCATGTGCATTTACTAATATCATATCCACGCTATTGAACAAGATATTTCAACCTATTTTGATGACACTTTAAGTCTTAGACTTCGTCCATCTCTAATTCTTGATTATTATCTACTTCTATAGGATGAGGTGGCATTTGTCTTCTTCTTGAGATATTCACTGTCTTATATGACTCAAGAAGGGATACATTATCGAGGTAGAGAGAGTTTGCCTCAAGAAAGCATTGAACTCCTAGTTGTCACTAATTGCTCAATCAAGTCTTGATATAAGAAAGATCAAGTTTGTATATATATATATATATATATATATATATATAAATTTTAGGTGCTATTATACTAAATATATAAATCTTAAGTTCCTAAAAACATCCAAAATATGATAAAACCTCTAAATCCTTAAATATCCTTATGGGGTATTATTCTCCAACTTCAAAAACTTATATCTTCCAATCGGAATGTTCAAACATACTCAAATTTTATATAAAGTACTGATATACTTCTAACAACTACCGCAACAAATTTCAATTGCAAATTTATTGCGGATCTTAAGATATCACCAAAATCCTAATAGTAGCTTCAAACCCTAGTTTTTATATACCCACTTGCAATTTTCTTCATATCTCACAAACTAAGCACTCAATGGCCAAAAAATATATATGTATAGCTTCTTAACACAATAATCTACCTTTTTCAAAAAAGTTTGAATCAAAAATTTGTTTAGAAACTCAAGTTATGGCTCCAAGCATTACAATGAATAAAATCACTTACTTACTGCCTTTGATTTGGATGTGCTGACTTCAACCCTCTATAACTTCTTCATCCAAACTCCAAATTCATCAAATATTTAAAAAAAAATATATTCAAAGAAGTGCTCTCTCAAACTTTAATCACCGATTCTTTGTTGCTCTCTGTAAATGTATGTTATGTCCCAAAGAATGACAATAGGTATGAAATTGATACCTTAACTTTGAGCGCTAATAACTCCTTCATAAAAACTCCAAATCATATAAAATTTTTACCTAATCCACACCTAAAAACCTGAACTTGATGATCTTAGCCTCCAAAGCTCAAATGAGTTCAAAAAAAAAATCCTAATCTCTAATAGGGCCTTCGGAAGCCTCCTTAAAGTCCATTAGCCATGGCTTTCGACCAATAGGAATGAAGATTCCCATTCCTTGCCTTCATCCAACCATGCCTTGCTTTCATCCCTCCCAATAAGCCTCCTATTAGTTAAGATTTTTTTCTTTAGGCTCTAATCTGCTCTCAAGGCTTCATACTAAACATTTAGGTCTTATAATTTTTTTAAATGCTATAATCAAAATAGATAAAATTCAAAATAAAGTTTTTTATATCCACTCTCTTTAAATTAATCTATTAATTATTCCAACATACACCAAGACTTATGAACATATTATATTTCTTAACTAATTTTTATATACTATGAGTAATTATAATACGACAATGTGAAATACATAGTGGATCTTCATAGACTTTGGTAGATGTAATTAATAAGCAATTGGATTGATTTGTTTACAAATAAGAAAAGGTCTTAGCCTACAATAGTCCAACTTATTAAAAGAACAAGTAGTCTTGATATTGCGATGAAGTAACCATATCTTATAACTTACATTGAATTGTGGTTACTCCTTGTGATAGGCATTTATGTTGGTCTTTTGTTATTATTGAGTTTTTTTTAATTGTATCTTCATTGTTGTATGTAGCTCTGACAAACGATTTGCTAAATCTTTTGCCGCAAGATTATCAACTTTTAAAAAATCAAAAGTATCAAGTCATGGATGACAACCATAATTGGTAAAGAAATACATTTGTTGAGTAGAAGAATGTATCAAATTATTATATGCAAACTTTTATCTTTTATTCAAGTCTAGTCATTTTAGGACTCTCATGGCTTAAAAAATACAATCCACAGATAGATTAGGTATCGTGAAAGTTAGAATTTTTTCTAGTAGATCATAGAACCTCTATATCTATGAAAAAGCTTTTAATACTTGACTAGTCAAAACTTAAACAACATTTATTTATTGGAGCTAGAGAATTTATAAGGGCGACCAAATAAGGTACTACGTTTGCTATCTATGCAAATCCACAATCAAAACTTGTGGTTACTACCACAACAATTTTAAAGGCATATAAAGATTTTTTAGATGTATTTGAAAAGAAAAATATAGACATCCTGTCAAAGCATCATCCTTATAATTGTATGATTGACCTTCAAAAAGATGCTCAACTATCATTTGGATACATCTATAATTTATCCCAAAATGAGCTTGCGACTTTAAAGGAGTACATTGAAAAAAATCTAGTTAAGAATTATATTCGACATTCCAAATTGCCACTTAGTGCTTCGATATTATTTGTGAAGAAAAAAGTTGGATCTTTATAAATGTGTAATGATTATTGCAGTCTTAATAAAATCACAATAAAAAATTGATATCTATTATTGTTAATATCCAGACTTCTTGATCAACTTAGCCAAGTAAAGATCTTTATGAAGATTGATTTATGAGGTACTTATAACTTGGTATGCATTAAAGAAGAAGATGAATAAAAGATAGCATTTTACATTAAGAAAGGACATTTTAAATACAATGTCATGCCTTTTGGACTTATCAATGCACCAGCCATATTCCAACACTTAATAAATGATATATTTTATGAGCATCTTCACAACTTTATTGTGATCTATTTAGATGATATTCTAATTTTTTCCAAAAATTT